AATGATATCCCTTGTTACAGGTCCTCTTCTGAATCTGGCTTGAGTTTCTGGCAGTTCCCGGTCGATGTACTGCTGCAACTGTTTTTGAATGATCTTCGGCAAAATTTTACTTGTGTGTGCCCTGGTGGCACAGTGGTTAAGACCTATGGTGAGCTATGGCTGCTAACCAAAAAAGTTAGCAGTTCAAATCCACCAGCTGCTCCTCGGAAACCCTATGGGGCAGTTCTGTCCTACAGGGTTGCTATGAGTCAGAACTGACTTGACGGCATCTAACAACAACAACTTGCTTTCTTCATGTATGATGTCCTTGATGTCACTCCACAACTCGTCTGGTCTTCGGTCATTAGTGTTCAATGTGTCAAATCTATTCTTGAGATGGCCTCTAAATTCAGGTGGGATATACTCAAGGTCGTACTTTGGTTCTCGTGAACTTGTTCTAATTTTCTTCAACTTCACCTTGAACTTGCATATGAGCAATTGATGGTCTGTTCCACAGTCAGCCCCTGACTTTGTTCTGACTGATGATATTGAGCTGTTCCATCGTCCCTTTCTACAGATGTAGTCGATTTGATTCCTGTGTATTCCATCTGGCCCAGTCCACGTGTATAGTCGCCATTTATGTTGGTGAAAAAAGGTATTTGCAATGAAGCAGTTGTTGATCTTACAAAATTCTATCGTGCAATCTCTGGCATTGTTTCTATCACCAAGGCCAGATTTTCCAACTACCAATCCTTCTTTGTTTCCAACTTGCGCATTCCAGTTGCCAGTAATTATCAATGCATCATGATTTCATGTTTGATCAGTTTCAGACTACAGAAGTTGGTAAAAATATTCAAGTATTTGGTGCGTAAATTTGAATAATAGTTGTATTAACTGGTCTTCCTTGTATGCATATGGATATTATCCAATCACTGACAACGCTGTACTTCAGGATTGATCTTGAAATGTTCTTTTTGACCACGAACTCAATGCCATTCCTCTTCAAGTTGTCATTCCAGGCATGGTAGACCATGTGATCCTCTGATTCAAAATGGCCCATACCAGTCCATTGCAGCTCACTAGTGCCTAGGATATTAATCTTTATGCATTCCATTTCATTTTTGATGACTTCCAGTTTTTCTAGATTCATACTTCGTACATTCCACATTCTGATTATTAATGGATGTTTGCAGCTGTTTCTGCTCATTTTGAGTTGTGCCACATCAGCAAATGAAGGTCCTGAAAGCTAGACTTCATCCACATCATTAAAGTTGACTCTACTTTGAGGAGGCAGCTCTTCCCCAGTCATATTTTGAGTGCCTTCCAACCTGAGGGGCCCATCTTCTGGCATTATATCAGACAATGTTCTGCTGCTATTCATAAGGCTTTCATTAGACAATTTTTTCAGAAGTAAACCAGCAGGTCCTTCTTCCTAGTCTGTCTTGGTCTGGAAGCTCCGCTGAAACCTGTCCACCACGGGTGACCCTGTTGGTATCTGAAATACCAATGGCAAAGCTTCCAACATCACATCAATACACAATCCACCACTGTATGAAAAACTGACAGACACGTGGTGGTCCAAACCATATAGGCAGCATAAATTTAGGTGTCAACAACAGTTTAGAGCTGGCTTGTTACAAATTCTCAGGGAAGGATTTTTTTCTCTCTTCCTTCCAGCACCTGTAGCATAGTGGCTAAGAGCTACATCTGCTAACAAAAGGTTGGCAGTTCAAATCCACCTGGTGCTCCTTGGAAACTCTATGGGGCAGTTCTACTCTGTCCTATAGGGTTGCTGTGAGTCAGAATCAACTCGACAGCAACGGGTTTGGTTTTTGGTTTTATCCAGCACCAAGGTCAATATAGGCAAGATTCTTTGCTGCCGTTCTTCATGGAAAATTTATTTTTTGCTCATTCTTATATTGATGGTATAGCTGTTTGGCATCCCAGCTTTATGTAGGGAATATCTTATTAGTTTCCCAACTTTATGTAGGGAATCTCTTATTAGTTTCCCCACTTTGAGTGGGCCCATGCATAGTGAAATCAAAGTATTTCAGGGCTGCTCAAGGGAAAAGATATGACCATGATATGGCAGTGTTGCAGAGCAAACTATTTATTGGGGCCAATGAGTTGACAGATGTTGCATGTGGAGGCATTTCTCACTGCAGGAGACCCTCTAAAGGCAAGTGGGGCAGGCAAGGGGGGACACTAGAAGGGGACAAGGACAAAGGAACTTCCAGAGGAGAGAGGAAGCAGAGAAGGTGGTTATGTATTTTGGCAATGTCCCTCAACAGCAAAATGGGGAGTTTCTGGGTCAGAGAACTCCCAGGGGCAGCAGCAGCTTGGGCTCTTTATAACTACAGGGTTTATCTTCTCTATGGATAGCAGGTGTGGGGCTCGGTTTCGTGGCAAATGCAAAGCAGGCAGGCTCTGAATGGCCCAAAATCTGCTTATCTGGGCTATTGTTAAAGCAACTAGATGTGTAAAAATTTTAGTTTAGTGCTGGTGGGCTTTTTGAGCTAACAGCCCCGGCTTGCTATTAAGAAATAAACAACCTGGTGCCCGATACGCAGGCCATCTTTGACTCTCACTTATGTAACTTTAGGCTTTATTTCTGGTCTCCTGTATTGCATATAGCTCTCAAACTGATAGCACAAGATCAGTTGGATTTGGTTTGGCAGATACTCTTAAGGCAAAAGCTGACTTCCAGTTCATGTTTTCCCCAGTAATACTATTTTCACTATGCTTTGGAGCCCTGGTGGTGCAGTGGTTAAGTGATAGAGCTACTAACCAAAAGGTCTGCAGTTCAAATCCACCAGCTGCTCCTTGGAAACCCTATGGGGAAGTTCTACTCGGTCCTATAGTGTCACTATGGGTCAGAATCAACTTGATGGCAATGAGTTTTTGGGTTTGTATGTGAAGAATTTCTTACTTTTTTGCCAAATCTCTGTATTTGAAAAAATACTTATTTTTACCCATCTTTGTAAGTTACTTTCATGGGACATTTCTACCATATCATATCACATCATATCATATCACATCATGTCATGTCACTTCATGTCACGTCACATCACATCACATCGCATCGCATCATATCAAATCATATGGAGTTCTCAGCTTCAACTGCCTACTTGGATGAGCCCAAGACTGTGGCTTCTCTCTGGGCACAACAACAAAAGCCAGACAATTCTGGTGAACACCTTTAGGGCAGCTGTGGCTTCAGCAACCCCTCTGGCCACTGGGGATTGTACTTATCGTGCACTTTTACACATTTAGTAATAGCAAAAAAAAAAAAAAAAAAAACCATTGCCATCGAGTCGATTCCAATTCATAGTGACCCTATAGGACAGAGTAGAACTACCCCATAGGGTTTCCAAGAAGTGGCTGGTGGATTTGAACTGCCAACTTTTTGGTTAGCAGCCAAACTTTCACCACTATGCCACCAGGGCCCCACAATTTGTAATAGGAGCGCTTCTTTCTCCAGAATTTCTAGTCTGCCTATTGCCAGAAATAGAAGTACTCCACATTATTATAGACACCAACACACTATGGATGCTCAATACATCCAATGGGGCCAATTGTATGTGTGGAAAAATGAAGACCCTTGAAGTTTCACCTTCTTGCGAACTTCCATGTTTTGTTGCTTCTGCAAGGCAACTCTGCTGGCATAGCCTAGAGCCAGGTTCCCACATAGACTAGCCCCATAATTTTGGTCTATCTTCCCATTAGCCATATGCTCACCTGGTCTATCCTTCATCTCCTAGCAAAACCGATGCCCACCCTTCTAGTGATTCCGAATCGTATTAGGGCTACAGAACTCTCAAGAATTTACTGAAAGCTATGAACCCTTTCCCCTGGAAAACGCAGTGACGCCAGTGTATAGGTACAATTTCAGAGGGTTCCTAGACTCTGTATTAAACTGTCAAGCATCTGATGATTTTCCTTCCTAGAAATGTGTTTGGAGTCTTGGGCCTTGGCTTTGGTGGGCTTCTGCTTCCTCAGAAACTCACAATATATATGCACACACCTGGGACTAATCAGAAAGGTTGATGTTCTGTGCTTTTGCTCAAAAACCAAACCAAACCTGTTGCTGTTGAGTTGGACTCATGGTGACCTCATGTGTTACAGAGTGCAACTGCTCCATTGGGTTTTCTTGGCTGTAATCTTTACGGAAGCAGATTGCCGGGCCTTTCTCCTGCAGTGCTGCTGGGTGGGTTCGAACCGCCAACCTTTAGGTTAGCAGCGAAACCGCTGGCACCATCCAGGAACCTATGTGCTTTTGCTTGATCCTCTCTATACTTTACTGTTGTTTTAATGTAATCAAGTGATTGTTTTTGCCAATGGACCTACACAATGTAGGCTTAAGTAGAAATTTTTGTTTCTTCCCTCCTTCATATTGGGATCTTGTTTTCTTAACTGCATTTCATAAACAGGGGAAACTGATGGATTGAAGCTGACTTGGGTTTTCAGTCTGTACCTGAGTTTAGACCTATTTCAAGGAGTCTGTGCTTCTTTTGACTTGTTGTTCGATGGGTATACAAATTAACACCTCGTTTCCCTCTCTGCATCTCTGTTTAAATCTTAGCCTTTTTCTGACTTCCTGTGTCTTCAAATCTGGCTTTTCTCTTCAGCTCTCTGAGCTGGCTTCCTCATCTGTGAAATGAGTGGACTGAACAAGTCAGACATATTTAAGCTGCACTTCTCAGAGCACCTCAGGGGCTGGTGGGAGCCAGGGGGATGAGGGCATGGGGAGGCTGTGCTTTTACGTGCCTTACACACAGATATGGAGTAAGGTGTATTTTGAGCAGAGTCCCACTACTGAAACACGGTGTGGAGCCCGCTGACCTGGGCGATCTCTGATGTCCGTGGGTGACTCCTCCCTTGAGCAGGAGTCTTGTCTCCGGGGCTGCAGGGTGGAGGCAGAGAGAGGAAGGCGTTCCTGTCTAACCCGGTGATCCCCCATTCTTGTGGCAGGCACCCCTTTCCCTGCTGACCCCTAACTCTGTTCTTGGTTCCTGTCCCAGGGGAGATGCTACCTTTGATGATGAGAGTGTTAGTGCTGCCGCTGCTGCTGTCCCTGGGTCAGGCTGCCCCCAAGGATGGAGCCACAAGGTAATGGATGAGGAGGGCAGGGCCGTTGACTGGGTGCAGGGAGTCTCCAGAAAACCTGAGGTGGGTAGGGCGCTCTGGGAGGCAGGAGACTGGGATGGACACCCCAATCTCTGAATCCCACCCCAGCCTCATGCCTCATGCCTGTCAGAGTGCCCTTCATAAAGCTGGCACGCAGAACAAGTTTGCTGGACTCATTTGGAAACGGGGCTCAGCGCCAATGAGGTGTGACACAGAGGAAAGAAGCGCTGGGTGGGGAAGGGCTGCAGTCCTCTTATCTTCATACACTGGGAACTCCAAAGAAATGGAGCCTGCTAGCACACCTCGTCCATTTGATTTGATTATTTTTCTCAACTATCTAGTTATTAATACTATGCAGTGGCTGTGCTAGGTAGAAGTGGAGACAGAGACAGGCTCAGTGGCAGCTGCTGCAACCATTCCTGCTAACTCTCTAGGGTAGCAAGTTTGGCTGATTTGGGCAAACAGGCAGCTCTATCCAGAACTGGGAACAAACTTTTGAGCCTTAAAGACTAACACCTAGACCCTGAGCAGATGAAAACTCCAAAACCAACATATATGCTCTCTGCTTGAAAAAGAAAGCCAATTTTTTTGTCATGGAGCAAATTGGGTCTTGTATGAAAACTGGGCAGGGCCACTAGGCTCAACCAAGACCTATGCCTCGGCTCCCAGCACCCGAGCAGAACTGCCATGGTCCTGGTTTCTTGGGTCTCCAGCTGGTGTCTACTGGATGTGGCCTCATCGGGCCTCTACCTAAGCAGATTTTTGAGTTTTCACTTAAAATCCAAGTCAGGCAGCTACAAAAACAGTTTGAGGGCGTAAGGTTCCACTTCTGAGAGAATCAGAGGGGCCTCTTCCTCACCAGGTTTTTGGGTATTTTGAGGAGCAATTCCCTTTGGCTCTGGGGAGAGAACTCAGCCATGAGTTTGGGGGTGGAGGGCTTGTGTGCTGGGCCCTGCAGGGAGGCTGTTTGCAAGGCTGGCCCTTTCCTCCGCCAGGCCCAAGCCTGAAGTGCTGCGGCAGCCCCTGCCCAACCCCTTCCTGCCAGGCAAGGAGCAACTTCAGTGAGTAGGCTGGGCTGGGGGCCTGGGGCTGGACCTGGGGCTGCAGACTAGTCTCTCCTGGGCTGATTTTCCACTTTTGGACAGACTTCTGCAGAACTACCTGAAGGGACTAGACAGGATGGAAGAGGAGCCAGAGCACATGAGCCGGGAGCAGGGTGAGGGCTGGGCTGATGGGCCGGGGCGGCCAGAACTGGGGACTAACCTCTGTCCCGCCCGTTGACTCCCACCTTCTCCACCTGCCCATGGACGCCTCTTCTGACCCAGCTTCTCCTCCTCAGTTCTCCTCTACCTCTTTGCCCTCCACGACTATGACCAGAGTGGACAGCTGGATGGCCTGGAGCTGTTGTCCATGTTGACAGCAGCTCTGACCCCTGGAGCTGCGGACGCTCCTCCCACCAACCCGGTAAGCACTGCTGGGTGGGGGCAGGTGGCCTCTCCCTGCAGGAGACCAACTCCTTGGGGCTTGGTCTTTCTCATCATGGCTTTTGTGGTGAGTCCCCTGTAAAAAGAAGGCTCAGAACCTGCATGACAGGAATGCGAGGGCATTGGGTGGGGGCTCCTGGGAACATCCAGGCTTACTATAGCCTTGTGCTCCCACAGGTGATCCTAGTGGTGGACAAGGTGCTTGAGACCCAGGACTTGAATGGGGATGGGCTCATGACTCCTGCAGAGTTCATCAACTTCCCAGGAGAGACCACCAAAGAGTCCCTTGCCCCTGCTCCCCAGGGGCCACACGCTACTGGAAGGCAGCCCCTATTACCTAAAAGCCCATTAGGACAAGAAATGCTGGAAGCTCTGAGTCTCAGAGAAGCTGGGGAACAGGTAGAGGCCAGAAGAGAGTCCTTGGAGCCTGTACAGGAGGCTGGGGCATCAGCAAAGCCTGCAGCAGAAGCCCCAGGTCCTGAAGGGGAGTTTGGGGGACAGGCAGAGGCTGAAAGAGAAGCCCCAGGTCCTACAGTGGAGGTTGGGGGACAGGCGGAGGCCAGGGGCACTGCAGAGGAAGCAGAAGCACTTCCAGGGGAAACACTGGAGTCTAAGAACACTCCACAGCAGTTTGAGGTCCATAGCATCCAGCTGGAGAATGATGAGATATAAAACAGGTTTGCACCCCGAGAAGTCTCAGTGCCAGAACACAAGCCCCAAAGGGTGGAGTGCGTGTTGGGATGAGGGCCACCCATGGGTCCCCTTGCTGGCTCCAGCAGTGTGGCAGGTTTTTCTGTGCAGCTCAGGGAGATCCTAAGTTGGCGGACAGCTTTTAGGGCCCAGAAAAACCAATAAAAAAACTGAATGAATTTGTCTTCCTGGGCCATCTATCCAAGGGCCCAGCCTGCACAGACCCCACAGGGGTACCTGGGGGTGGGCACTGGACAGGCCTCTTGAAGGGGCAGGGATTCAGCTTTCCCAGTGTTCCCAGAAGCTGGTGGTGCCGAGACACAGCAAAGTCTATGGGGGCTAGGCCACAGCCAGCTACAGACAGCCCTGTGAAGAAAGTTCCCTGGAGCCAACACTCCCCTGTTCCCTCCGCACCTGATGCCCACCTCCCAGGGCCCCGCTGTACCTCAGGGCAGACCTTCGCCACCACCCTGTATCTCCGCCCCCCCCCCCAACCCCCAGTAGTATTAATAACTGTCATTTACTGAGAGATTAGTTTGTACCAGGTGTCATGCTGGGCATTTATGTATTATGTGAGTCTATCTTCATAATAATTCTGTGAGCCAGGTAGAATTATTAGACATTTGACAGATGAGGAAACTGAGGATGATTGAGTTAAGCAACTTATCTACACACCTAATTAAGTGGCAGATGTGAATTCAGATCTTTCTGATGCCAAAGCCCCACGCTGTTTATCACATTATATGGCCCCACTCACCCTGCCTCAACTGCTGTACTGCAGTTGGCCCCCAATTCCAATCTGCCCCCTTCTGGAGCTGCTCTCCCTGAGGGGCTGCAACACTCAGCATCCCCAGTCACATCTAGGGCGGAGGCACCGCCTTCACTACAAGGCAGGCTCCAGGGGTGGGGCTCTCCGAGGAAGATATTTTTGGACTGTGAAGGCCCCACCAAGCCACAGAGTAGGCTCCCCGCCCGGTGGCCTGTCAGGTGGCTCAGCCCTGTGGACCCGAGCCTCCTGGGGCCGAGGGAGTGGAGTCTTCTGCACAGCACAGGGCCCCGAAGAGCTTTTCACAGCTTCTGGGCATCGGGAAAGTGCATGGGGTGCAGGCCTGGGCAGGGAGGTTAATTTGGGGAAGGAAGAAAAAGGGAGAAGGACTGTAGTGTCAAAGCCTCAGGAGTCCCCAGCCAGAGCAGTTCGGACATCAAGGACAAACAGACGGGCAGAGGAGGCTGGCTCTAGGGGAGGAGATTTATTTGCTCCGTGGCTCTGCGGGTGAGATGTGGGGGACACAGGACACAGGCAGAATCCTTGCCACAGCCTGCATCTCCTCAGGGAGCAGGGCAGCCCAGACGCCAGGCCCCAGGAAGGGATGGTAAGCTTCTGCTCCCGCCATGGTGCTCTCACACAATGCCATCGTAGCCCTGCAGGCCACACTTCTTGCCAGCCACCTGGCAGCCAAACCTCAGCGCCTCCTGTATGCTCTTCCCTAGAGGGAGGGACACATAACTGGGTCAGCCTGGTCTTGGGGCAGAGGTGGCCCCCAGCCCTGTCCCCTCCTGCTGGGTTACTCACCCTGGGAGAGACTGAAGATGACGGAGGCATTGAAGGTGTCTCCAGCCCCCAGAGTATCCACCACCCGGGGTGGGGGGAAAGCGTCCGAGTGGATCAGCTGTCCGTCGGGGCCCAAGGCATCAGCGCCCTCCTCAGCCCAGGCACAGATGAGTGTAGCCCTGCAAGCCTCTCCGCTCAGCTGGTGGTGTATTTGTGCCCCTCGCCCCGGACCCATCTACCCCCGCCCCTGGGCAGACCCCTGGAGTCCAGGTTCTTGCACTCCTCATATCCTCGGGCCCCTTCTTGGGTTCCCCCAGCTCACCCTTTCCTCACACGGCCGTACAAGCCCCTCAGTGCTTCTGCTGATGACCAGAACCCAAAGTGCTTGGCCACGTCTTTGCTGACAAACACCTGTGGGCAGTGGGAGGGAGGCTGACGGTCACTTCTCACTCTAGTCCCAGCTCTGCCCCTCACCAGCAGCAGCCTAGTGTTGCCCCTATATTGTAATGACTCCCCCAACACAGCCACATAAATCCCAACATAGCACCTCACTATCCCACAGGAACACAATTTTTAAAAAAACTGTTTATGACATACTAGAATTCAGCCATGTCAACTGTGACACAAAAGCCCTGGTCTATTTTTTCCTGAGTATAGTGCCAACAGTTAACATGCTTGGCTGCTAACAAAAGGTTGTAGGCTCAAGTCCACCTAGAAGCACCTCGGAAGAAAGGCCAGGCGATCTACTTTTAAAAACACAGCCACTGAAAACCCTATGGAGCACAGTTCTACTCTGACGCACATGGCGACGCCATGAATCAGAGTCAATTGGATGGCAACTTGTTATTTGTTCTGAGATCAGTGAATTTCCTCCCACTTGAAAACACAAAGAGAGCCTTGTGTGCCATCTTGGGGTAAAATCTACCACTGCCAAGTTAAACTGTGCCCGCCTTCCAGAGAGTTTTTTTTTTTTTTTTTTTTCCTTCACACATCTCTGCCCTCTAGGTTTCATCTGTAAAACAAAGGCATAGAGGTTCCAGAGCTTCCTGGACACCTACTACACCTTAGAATCACTAAAGGAAGTTTTGTTAAAAACACTGAAGCCCAGGCTTCAGTAACAAACTAGCAGGTGGGCTCAGATTTCCACATTTTTAAATGTGCAGTCAGGGTGGGAACCAATGGACTATGGTGCTAGGAGTGTCACTCAAATTCCACATACATCCCAGCCCTGCCCACATTTCCCTTGTGCAAGTCCCCTTCCCACGCTTCCCTAGTCACCTAGTGGCTCCCACAACTCACTCTCCACCCGAGTTGGAAGGAACCTCAGAGAGCAGTTCATTTTATAGAGGAAAAGACTGAGGAGGCCCAGAGACGAGATGGCTTCCAGACGGGATTACCTGGGGCTGACTGTCTTGGCCCTGTCTGAGTCCTCTGGCTACCCTTACACTCCTGTACCCGTGTGGGATGGAGAAATTCTACTCTTTGGCCACTGTGAGGCCCGGATAGGAGCCCAAAGCTGGGGGTCTGCCTCTTTGCTTTGCCCCCATCTTCCAAAACCCCGAAGCCAGGAGTTGCCATCCTGAGTGGTAGGCTGGACAAGGGGATTCTTGGGCTCCCTTTAAGAATGAGCTGCTGCGCTGTACATGGCAAGGAAGCTTCATGGGGCGCTCACCGTGTCTCCGTAGCCAAACAGTTGGAACAACTCCTCTTGGGGCTTCTCCACCTCCACGGACACCTGGATCTTCTGCTCCGGAGGCTGCCTGGCATTGTGCTGCTCTATCCGCTGCAGCATCTTCACCTGCTCCGATGCGTTCCGGCCCTGGGGCAGAGCAGGCAGCTCAGGACCAGCTGGGCATTGCCTGCCTGGCTGGCTCATTCTTCCCTCCCTGCTGGAACTCTGAGTGAAGAGGGAGAGGGGCCAGGGAAGCTGGGCTAGAACCCTATCCCAAGTCACAAAATTCTAGAGCTGTCATGGGCCTTGGAGACTTTATAGACCAGCCCTCCCATTCACTGATGACGAGACTAAAGAATAAAAGAGACTTTCCTAAGAACCGACAATAAAGTAAATGACAGGACTAGGATTAGAACTCAGGACTTTTCCAGGTTTCTTCCCACCAGGACTCCAAAATTCCCCTCTTGGAATGAAGGTCCTAGTTCCCTTGATTTGGGAGCTAGGTCAGGCCCTCTCATTCCTGCTCCCCCAGAGGTCAACGGCCCTACAGAGCCAGACTACTGGCAGAGGTGGGGCAGCCAGTAACACAGCAAGCACGGGGCTTCGCCTGGAGCCAGCTGTGCCTGCATCCTGCTACGTGACCTTAAGTACGCCAGCAGTCTTTGTGGGCATTAGTTTCTTCACCTGAAAACATGAGGGAGGATGGAGAGGGGATGAGGGAGGTTGGATTCAGTTATCTCTAAGGTACTTCCTGTTTCAAAGAGACCAAAGAAAGAGGCAGAACAGTGGATGGGGCTGGCAAGTTGAGCCTCTCAAAATACAGTCAGGGCAAGGCTTGCCTCAATGTGGATCCATTTGAACCGAGTCAGATCGACCTTCTCAAAGTCCTTAGCAGACACGTCTGGCAGGTTCCTAGGCCACGAGATGGAAAGGACAGCAAAGAGGCATGGTGAGGTCAGCCAGAGCCAGGACCTCTAGCTGGCAGCTGGGGACCCTCTGCCTGTTGCCGCAGCATAGCAGGAAGCTGAGTGTCTACAGCACAGGAATTTCAGGCTCAGCTCTAGGATAAACCTGTCCTAAATTCCCAACCACTCCTTGCCTCACTCAACTCCATCTACACAGGGGCCTGAAGGCAATTTGCTAGGTTGCTCCTCCCTGCCAGACAGGCGATCCTGCGTTTCAGATAGCGAGATTATCCAAAGGTAAACTCAGCTACGGTTAAGCGTCAAGGGGCCAGGGTCCTCTGTGCCTTGGAGACCACATCTCCCAGAATGCTCTAGGGACACCAGAGACCACAATTCCCAGAGTCCTCCTTGCCAGCTGCACAACACAGCTCCCAGCATGCAGTGCCCCGGCAAACTACAAAGGCCGTGGCAGCTCTGGCTACACTGCTTCGAGCTCGGGTCTGACTCAATGCGCTTTTGGCGTCCCAGTGTTGAGCGCTTGCTTGTGGCACCCACAGTACCACTGTCCTGAATTTGGTAGACTGTCACAACCCTGAGGTCAAGGTTGGCAGGTGAGGATGAGTTCATGTCATGTTTGGCTTAAGCGTGGAATCCCGGGAAGGGTCTGCCTCAATCCTCCTCTTAACAAGAGACCTACACACAACCGGTGTCCTCCCCTCCATGCTCTGTGGCCCAATCCCTTGTCCACTTAACTAGCTGTGTGACTTGGGCCTTTCTGAGGTAAGTGGGGCCAAAACCCCCAGGCTCACAAGCCTACTGGATTTGGAGGTAATGCATGGGGTAAGGCCGGCAGGCAATAAAACATCTCTTTTCAGAACTTCCTGTGAATGCCTTTATCATGTTCTTGATCAAAGTTGCTACAGATTGTTGCTTACTGAGCAGATGACTAGGATTGCCCAATCCTAGTCAAGGTTGCCTCTAGGACATATGCCTGCCCACTCACTCACTGGGACACATGGAGCCCAGAGGCCACTGGTCACAAAGCCTGTCCTGGGGTGACTGCCCTTCTCCCCCAGGTCCAGTGGTCGTGCCAGGTAGTAGGGACAGCCTGGACCCCAGGGTAGCTGGGCTTGGGCCCTCCCAGACCTAACACAGTACCTGTCACATACTAGGTTCTCGGTAAACGTTTTAAACCCCTGAGATTCTTCAGGGAGGAATTGGTGGCGGCGGGGGAGGGATGAGAAAGGTCTAGGCCCACAGGCCCTCTCCCCAGTAACTTGGAACCCTGAAAGGACCCCCACCCCCCAATCAGACAGCCCTGATCTGCTGACCCAGATGTTCCCTTTCCCTCTCCTTCAGCAATGGCTGCAAATTGTGTGTGGAGCATTTGGTCTGGCCTCATTATCCTGGGACCTTTGGGAGACTCATCTCCCTTGAACACCTGAATCCTAGCTCCTTGGTGCCATGCTGCAGGCTAGCAACTCTGGGGCTGACCCTGGAAATCCCAGTGGACCCCCGGCCCTTGAGATGGCTTGACTCACACCCCCCACCCCTCTGTCCTGAGAACAGTTTCCCTACATGCATACCCAGCCTGCTGATTGGCTAATTATGGAGGAATAACATCGTAAATTACGTTTTGTACAGGCCTGCCTGCCCATCCTTGGTGCTGTACAAGGCCAAGTTGCCAAGCAGAGCAAAGGCCACCCCTTCCCACCTCACTTCTCCCCTAATTGAAAATAATTCAAAAATCACTGAATACTTTGGTGTGGGGGCAATTTCTGGTACAGAGAGAGACTGCAGGGGGTGGGTAGTCGGGATGCCCACAGCGACGAGTGAGGCCGTGAACTGATTGGTGGGCTGTGGCAGGGTGAGGCCAGGGGCCTTACGTGTCGTAGAGCACAATGGTACGGGAGCCATTGGAGTTGTTGACGATGCAGCAGGACAAGGGGGTCTCCCCCATGCTCTGCCAGGCCACGTGAGACACGTCTATGCCCCGCCGCCTGAAGTCAGCCACCAGGAAGCTTGGGGTGGAGCCCGAGTCAGGGAAAGGGCAAGGAGACACAGATTAGCACCTACAAGTGGCCTAGACCTCTCACAGGTGATGAAGGGGCTGCTGGAGAACTTGGGGCCTCTGAGAGAAGGGTCCTGTTCTTGGAGTGAAGTGACGGCGGCGGCAGCTGGCAAGGTGCAGACAGGTATACAAACCTGTAGGCGTGTAGGATGGTGCGGCTGCCCTTGGCCTCGTTGATGATGACCATGGAGACGGGGACAGAGCCCATGGTCTGAAAGACCACGTAGTGCAGGTCCACAGAATAGCGGCGGAGATCATCCAGGATAAAACTGCCAGAGCGGAGGAACCCAGGGGGAAGGTGCAGTTCGACAAGGGTTGTGGGGACTGGAGGGTAGCTGGCAGGGCCGCTAGGACCCTGAAAAGCAGGGATGCAAACGGAGGAAGACTCAGAGGGACCTGGAAATCAAGGCCCTGTCCTAGAAGGGTCACGGGCTGTGCAAGGGGGCAGGCATTTGCTCCAGTTCATAAAGCTAGATAGGGGTAGGTTTGGGGCCTAGACCCTGCACCCTGTTTGAACCAAGCAGGTAGTGGGCACTGTGGCCTGTGTGAGTTTTATGCAAGGCCCAGGCAGAAGTAGTAGTTAATCACCAAGGTGATACTTTGCCCCCCAGCTGCCCTCTGCATGCTTATTCCCCCTTCTAGTCCCACAGCTGCGATTCCTCTCACTCCTATGCCTGCCTCCATGATGCCCAGCCAGGAAGCGGGACTGCCCACTGCCCTCTCCTCCCACAGCAAAGCTAACCCTCCAGGGCAGTTAGCTGGTGCCCAGTGCCTCGTGCCCCTCAATATGGGCATGGCCCAGGACTCTTTCCCAGAATCCCCTCCAATCAGAGTCAGCTGGGGGGCGTCCCCTTAGGAATACTGCCAGCAGAAGAAAAAAGAGGCTAGTCCCCCCTCCCAGCCCTCTCTGGAAATGGAGTGTTCTGTGCCTGAGAGCTGACAACTCTGCGCAGCAGTCCAGCCATCACCCAGGCTGTCCTCACTGTGGCGGGACCCCACCGTAAGCAACACCAAAGCTGGGCAATCCAGAGTCGTATACAGGTGACGAGTCAGGACATATGTCTTGTCTTGCACCTCAAACCCACTGCCATCATAGCAACCCTACAGAACAGAGTAGAACTGCCCCACAGGGTTTCCAAGGAGTGGCTGGTGGATTCGAACTGCCAAGCTTTTGGTTAGCAGTGAGCAATTAACCACTGCGCCACCAGGGCTCAGCTTCCCAGAGCATTGAATACATGGTTTGATCTGCCAGATAACTGTGCGCATGAGTGCCTGACACTGGCAGGTACTCATTAAATGTCTGTTGAACAAATGGGGAGAATGCGGAGTAGGCCACCTGTTGGCATGAATGCTATGTAAAAGAGGATCCCCCACGCTGTCCTATAGCCACAGGCCTGCCTCCAGCTAGGGTGAGAAAGGGGCTGCTGAAGAGAGTTAACCAAGTGATCAGCCACTGGCCCCAAGTCCTGTCCCATCTCACGGGGTAGGTCGCTCCCGTTGTCTGCTTGGTGCCAGCTCATCAAGGCTGGGAGTGACTGTGGCTCAGGTGCTGAGCTATGGCAGCAGCCCCCCTCAAACCGGGGTTTAAAGGGCTGTGCTTCAAAGACCAGTAACCTGGCAGCCTGGCCCAGTGTCCACAGTGGGCAAAGTGTGGGCCTCACCTCCTGATAAGCACTCGCTAAGCTGGCAGCACCAAGGGTCAAAGGTTTCTTGGGCCCTTGCTGCAGCCAACCTTGAGCAAGCGTGGCCATTTACAGCTGTGGCCTGGACAGCTGGTGAGCTGAAAGCATGGCTCCTGGGCCCAGCACGTGACTTTGGGCATCCTTGGCCGGGTACTCTTGCTGCTTCAGTGAACAACTGGGGGCACGAGCACCAGCCCTGCCCCCTCCACTGGGAAGTAAACTGTGGGCTGGGCCCTGGGCCCCTGGATGCTGGGCATTCCTTGGGGAGGGGCAGGTACAGCATGTCCCTAGCTACCTCCTGCCTCAAGCACAGCCAGAAAAAGGGACTGTAGAAGGGCAAAGTCAAATCCACCTCAGAGTCTGCAGGGAGCAAGGAAGGAGAAGGCAGCGAAGCTTAAGCAGGCTCCAGGGAGTGGCCAAGGCAATGAGCTGTGGAAATGAAATCTTAACAAGAGTGCCATTAACACCTGAACAACAGATAAGGGTCTGGGGTCCTGGGGCTCCACTCCGCCCACTCCCACTCATTTCTGGTGGCCACACACCACCCACCCTCCCAGGGTGAAGAGTCCTCTTCTCCCCCCACCCTCCAGGCAGCCCTCCCCTCAGCTTCCCCCTCTACTCACTCAGCAACATGGCCAGGGGCCAGTGAGCCCATGAAGGCGCAGGGGGCTCCCAGCAGGGAGAGAACGGTGCAGGAGTTGGATGCATTGCCTCCACGCTGCCATCTCTGCGACAGGCACCTGCAAAGCACAGGAAGGCCACTGGGATGAGCAGGGCCAACCACAGTGTAAAAGCCAAGATCCCCTTCAGAACGCATCTAGACCAGCCCCATTTTCTAGATGGGGCAGCTGAGGCTCAGAGAAGGGGGTGGCTTGACTGAGGTCAAGGTCTCTCTCCCCAGCCGAGGCTAAATTCACGCTCACAGTGATTACTTTCTGTCTTTTCACTTAGGGCATCAGGAAACCACTCAATCAGGCCCATCACAATTTGAGGGCCCTACTGCCTCTGGGTAATCTCCTCGGTGTACAACAACCCATCTTTCCCCCAGTCAGAGCTGCTCCCACTTGGCTGTCCTGACAGCCCGCTCCTCTATCAGCTCCAAGGACCTCAGGGATTAAGGGCTTCTTCCCAAAGGCATCTAATGTACCACCTACTCCTATCTTAGGAGAGCTGACATCAATAATACCTGCAGACTAAAGTGAATACAACAGGAGAGCAAACCTTCTCAGTACTCCCGCTCCACAGAAATGCCTTCATGGCATTACAGTGTAACGGTGTGGCCCTTATCAAGAGTAGATACAAGCACCAACAAATGACTCTTCAACTTTTACCAGACCACTAAGAAGGATGTTTGCCGCTATGTTGTTCACTGATCTCCATAAAAAGGACTTCTGGTAAACTTTTAGGAGTTAGCATCAGGGAAAAGTTTGAACCAGCTCTATCCATACATAACCTGTGGCATCCTCAAATTCACCTCCAGTTTCGCCAGCAAGCCCCAAGCTATAGTTGAAGCTCAAATACCATGGTTTTAAACGTTCTTTGAACGGTCTAATTGCACATACCCCTCATTGTAAGCTACCTCAAATCTTTTTCAGAAATACGTGATATAAATATATAATACATAACATTCATTTTAATATTAATTATATATATATATATATATAAAATGAACTAGAAGTAAATGCTGGTAAGAAGCAAGTGCATAGGTCTTGGCATAAAAAACAAAACTGGTCCTGCACTTTACTAGCTGTGTGTCCTTGGATTAATCACTTCATCTCTCAGTCTCTACTTGCTTATCAATAAAATGGGGGTAATGATGCCTGACACAGTCCCAGGGTTGAAATGGGAACTGGCTAAAACAATGCTATCCAAAGTCTGCTGCTTCTTATTAGAGCCCTCAATTCTTTCCTCTTCTCTCCCGCTCAGAACCCCCCAGGTTCCCCAGGCAGAGGGCACTGGCTCCCAAGGCTAGACTCTCACGGCCTCTGGCCAGGCACAAACGCGAGGCCGCAGCGTCTCCTGCTCTCCGGGCGCCGCTACCTGCGGTCCGTATCCTCCTCCGGGTACTTATCCACCACACTGATGATGTCCAGCACCACTAGCCCCACGCACAGGATCTGCTTCTCTTCCATGAGGCTGCTCCTGGAGCGTTTTGCCCTACCAGCTGACGGGGTTCCTCCTGGTTCTGCCTCTTATCCCGGAGAACTGCGTCCCGGATCCCGGGGGCTGTCCTGGCTCCTCCTCCGCGTCCGGAGCTCCTCCTCCAGGGAGCCTCCTGCAAAGGGAGGGGTGCGATGCGGTGAGGTGCACGGAATGCAGCAGGGGTCCTGCTCCCGACTCCCACCGATCCAAGCTTGCCTGGGAGCAGTCTTGGTTCCCAGCCTTCCCTTAGCAGGTTGTCTGGCCCTGCAGATGGCCACGCTTTCCACTCCTTGGTCTCAATTTTCTCACCTGTCACGCGGACCCGGAACCAATGTACCCCTGTCTAAAGTGCGGCTAGGCACTCTCTTTAATGCACAGAGAAAGTGCCGTGGAAAGTCGCCACTTGCCCCGCCTTCTTCTTCACCCGTGGCCTGACTCCCGACACCGGACCCGCGGGGTTGACTCCGCTTCGCGATGCAGGCTTGGCGCCCGCAGCCTAAACCGCGGCTCGGGGTTCTCGCTGCTATCCCGCCCCACCCCCGCGGCCCAGCCCAGCCCAGCCAAACGCTCGCCTCAGCCGCGGAATCGCAGAGTCCCGCTAGGGGAGCGGCGGTGGCCACGTGACGGGAGACGCCGTGAGCGGCGCGGCGTCTGGGCTCCCAGCGCCTCCTGGCGGGCGCCAGCGAAACTGACATGACCAGGAGACGGTCCCGCTGGAGCTCTAACCCGGGACGCACCTGGCGGCTGGTACTTCCAGAGCAACTGCGGGCAGAACCATCCCGGAGCCCGAGGGGAGGAGGCAAGCCGGCTCGGAATCTGGGGCTCCCCTCCGTAGGCCGCTCTCTGCCGCCACCCTATCCCCTGTGTACCCCTGCCGACCCTTGAACACACACACACTGGAGCCGAACGGTTTTTTTTGTTTGTATTTTTTTAGAAAAAAAAAAGTGTTTTTATTCCTGAATAGTTTAGTAAGGCCGTGGGGAGAGCCCTGGACCGCAGGGAGTCCGCCTCTAGATCGGTTGCGGGAGTGAAAGGAGCGAGGATGGGCTCCTCCGCAGTCTGGGCCCTGGAGCGAGGTCGGGAGGGGACCGCGATCGGGCCAGAAGTCTGGACGAGGGGACCCTGGAGTCCCGCCCCAGCACGCTGGGGAGGAGCCGCTCTGGGCGCCGGTACCGCGGCGCGTCCAGAGACTGCAGCCCCGAGGCTGGAGGCGTCTGAGACGGCGCCCGTCCAGGCGGGGACCCTGGGAGCCGCCTCTCCCATGGGCCCTTCAGCCGGAGTAGACACTAGGGGCCGTTGCGGCCCGGCCCTGTGTTTACTATGCCTGTTCGAGCTCCAGGTCCCCGTAGAGCAGGGCTCCGCTGAAGATGGTGAGCGGCTCCTCCGAGTACGCCAGCTGCCCCATAACCAGGTCGATGCAGACCGTGTCCCCGGCCTGCAGTGGCAGGATGAGGCTGAAGACACCCAGAGCGCCCGGGCTCGGCTGGCTCTCGGCCACCGGCTTGTTTTCCAGGCCCTCCGGCTCGTAGCCGCCAGAGTCGATGCGGGCCACGCCCAGATTGGAGCGGGAGAGCACGGCCTCCACTTTCTCGTGCCGGTGCCCAGTCAGCACCGCGCTCAGCAAGTAGCGTCCGGCCAGTGGCGCCGTAAACACGCCTGGGGACAGGGATGGCTCGTCAGTCAGGAGAGAAGACAGGTGGCCAGGCCAGGGAGGCCTCGGGGAGCCCACCCAGAACTCCTAGAGTGGGAACACTTTCGTCTTTTTACTTCTATTCCACTAGAAAGTAAGCTCCACGACGGCAGGCAATTTTGCCTATTTTGTTCAATCTGCATCCTAGCGCTTAAAACAGTGCCTGGCAAGAGTAGGCCCCCACTAAAGGTTTTGTTGAATGAATGACTCCTCCCCCTCTCCACCCCCAACCCAAGTGTGGTGAGAATGAATAAATGAAGGAAGGAGTAGGGGTCTCCCCAAATCAGAGAATGAAAAGATAGGCATTGTCTAAAGAGGCAAGAATGATAAACTACCACTGCACAGCCTCACCCAAACCCCCACGTGCCCAACCCCAGGCTCCTCCCAGGCCTACCTGTCTCTGGATCATAGTAGCCCCCATCGTTGAGCAGGACTCTGTCGAAGGGGACTGTGCCCGGTTCAGACCGGGGCAAACTCAGGGCAGCTGAAAAAGCCACCCGGGGCACAGAGACTGCTGGTGCCCCCTCCACACCTGGGTGGGGATAGAGTGGGCATTCGGGCAGAAGTTCTGTGCAGGGCCACACAGGCCCTTCCCCTCCCGGACCTCTACCCCCAGGCTGCCTGAGGCCTTCCATCCTCCAGCCCCTGGTTCAGGTTCCACCTCCTCCAGGATCTGATGAGAGAAACTTACCCTGTTCACCTTGGGGACCTGTGGAAGAGGAATGGGAGCAGTGAGAAGGAGGCCAGCTCTCACTAGGTCACTGAGCAAACACCTGCTAAGTCCCTCCCACTGTGCTGAGAGTTGTGAGGATGTCAAAGCAGGAATGGGGATATCGAGAAAAGGAGGAATAGGTAGGGTCCATGCTGTACAAGTGCTGGGCCATGAGCCCTTGTCCCCCCACCTTTCATGCCCTAGATAGCCCTTGTAGGCTCAGCCTCAGTCTTCAATACAGCAGTGAGGCCAATGTATCCAATTAGTGACTGTCCAGCTCCTAATCATTTTCCTCCCACTATCAGCCATACACTTGTTGCCACTGAGCTGATTCCGACTCACAGTGACCCTAAAAGACAAAGTAGAACTGCCCCATAGGGTTTCCAAGGCTGTAAGACTTTATGGAAGCAGACTGCCACATTGTTCTCCCGCGGAGTGGCTGGTGGGTTTGAACTCCCAACCTTCCGGTTAGCAGCCGAGCACTTAACCACTGCACCACCAGAGCTCCTTATCAGCCATATAGGACCCCCAATTCCTCACCCCTTTCCTCCCTTCTCTGTCAGGTTCAAGGTGAAATATCAAGCCTGGGGCTGCCCAGGAGGTTCTCAGCCCACCTACCTGGTGGTCCGGCAGGCCCCTCTTGTCCATCCTTGCCTGGAGGTCCTGGAGGTCCGGCAGGGCCTGGAGGCCCCTGCACCCCAGGAGGCCCTGGGGGCCCAGCCTCACCTGCTGGCCCTGTAGTGACAAAACTACGTTGAAGGAGAGCCACACAGTTCTCAACAGACAAGGGAAGTGGCAGCTCTATGCACAGGAGACGGATGAAGCAGATGGGGCTTTGCAGACTTGTGGGGAGCGGAAGCCCCTCAATGCCCATACTGGATACCTGGCAGAGCAACATACCACCTCCACCCACAGGCCCATCTGAGCATCCAGAGGGAGGACAGGGAGCTGTGACCATCTCTTATGGAAAAATTGTTTCCCCTGGGACAGAGGCTGGAGCAGCAATGCATGCTGGACAGAGCAAGGAGAAATAGATGAGATCAAGGTGGGCTGTTGTGGGTTGAAAAGAGGAGAAAGAAAGGGCTTGAAAAGGGGCTCCGCCTGCCCCACCCAGGCCTCCTCTTGCCCCCTCACCAGTGAGGTCCGTCAGGCTGAGCTGGTGTAGCCGGTCCTCCAGGATTAGCAGGGAGTTGTTGAGGGCACCGAGCCGCCTGCCCAGGCCCGCCTGCCCTGCCAGCAGCTTCTCCAGCAGGGCTGCCTGCGTCTGGCTGGTGCTGTTGGTTTCCCGTAGCCCAGCCCAGAGCCCAGCTACGTGCCGGGAAAGGCCCTCTCGTAGGCCCTGCAGCCCCCCAGCTACAGTGTCCAACCGCTCACAGACTCCCTCAAGACGGCCCAACCTCCCCTCTACCCCAGGGCACTGGCCAGCCTGTGGCTGTCGCTCCTCCAGGCTGTGGAAGCGCTCCTCACTCTCTGTAGCATGCTCTGTGGCCTCCTGCTGCAGCCTGTTAATCTCAGAGATGATGCGGTCCTTGGTGGCTCCCAGGTCAGCCAGATCAGCACCCTGGCCCTCCACAGTGGTCTGCAGCTCGTGCAGTGAGTCATTGAGGGAGCTGAAGGTGAGAATGACCTCGGAGAGCTCTCCTTGTAGGGCCTGCAGGGCTGAGCCTGAGCTGCCCCCGAACACGCTGAAGCCGTCCAGTGGCCCTCGGCTTGGTCCCCCAACACCCGGGCCAGCGCCAGGGCCCCGCGCGGGGAGCAGGGGGCAGGAGCAGCGCTCCACACCGTCCCGAAGGCGGCCCAGCTCCTCTTGGACACCGCCACAAGCCCTGCAGCCCTCGTCCCCACGGGCCTGCAGCAGACCCTCCAGCTGGCCCAGCCGTGCAGCCGTGAGATTCAGCTGCAGTGTGAGCTCTGCGGCCATCCTGTCCTGGGCATCCACACGATCCTGGAGCTGACCCACAGCCCCCTGCAGTCCCTCCAGTGTGGCCTGCTGGGCCTCCCCAGCTGCTCCTACCTTGTGCAGGCCTGAGCCCACCAGCTGCAGCTGCCCCTCGCTATCCAGCACCCTGCGCTCCAGGGCACTGAGGATCTCGCTGACCTGGGAGTCCTGCTCCCCGGGGGCCCCTGAGCAGAGCTGCCCACAGGCCTGCACAGCTCCTGCCACCTGCTCTTCCAGCAGATCCAGCCGCCCACCCAGCTCCCCGCTCACATTGGCCAGCAGCCCCTCCAGCTTCTCTAGTCGGCCCCAGGCAGCCGGCAGCGAGTGGCCCAGCCCCTCAGGGTCCCCAGGCCAACCCCCCTCCTGGTCGTCTGAGGGACCCAGGGTGGAGTTGAATCGGTCTTCCAGGCGAGAGAGGCGGGAGGCTAAGCCAGTGTAGCCCGGGGGGTGGCCCCCCTGCCCGGCTGCTCCTCCTAGCTCAGTGCCTCGCCGGCCGCTCAGCACCGTCACCGAGCCAGCCACGACATCCAGCCTCCGCTCTAGTTCCGCCAGTCGCCGGCCCAGCTCCGGGGGACAGCATTCCTGAGCGGGCCTGCGGCCCAGGGCCTGCCCAGTCAACTGCCACTGCCGTTCCTCCACTGAGGCCAGCAGCTTCTCCAGTGCTCGCAGCCGCTCCCGGTCTTCTTGCTGCTGCCGGCGGAAGCCCTCCAGCCCCACTAGGCACACAGAGCAGGACTCCTGCAGCCGCCGCTCCAGCTCCCGCAGCAGCTCCTCGCTGTGGCCAGGAGGGGCTGGGGCTGAGTCCAGGGTGCTGCCGCCACCACCACCGCCACCGCCATGATGGTTGTTGAGGTGGCCCAGCTCCTGGTCATGGGTGGAGACGCGGTTGTCTAGGAGCTGCAGCTGGTGCTGGATCTCGTTGAGGGTTTCGTGCACGCCAGGGCGGGCAGCTGCATCTGCTGGCTGCTGCCTCCCATTAAAGGCCGTCTCCACAGCCTTCTGGACATCTTCTGCCAGGCGCCCACTCAGCCCCTGAAGGACACCCCGAAGGCCTTGCAGCTCCTTTGTCAGGCTCTGCACCTGCTCCTCCAGATGTTGCACCTTCTCTGACTCCCGAGGACCTAGGAGAGAGGGGAAAGCATAAAGCAGAGGGCTGGACCTCAGAGCTCAGTGCCTACCTCTGAATCTGCCACTCCGTATCTGTTACCTCCTAGGCTCTGCTCACCCCAGCTCCACAGAGGACAGAGGGCCTAGGCTGATTCTGCCGCAACTCAGCTGGGTAACTGGGCAAGAAGGAAGGAAACTCCATTCACTAAATGCTTCCAGACCAAATTTGTGCCATGGCTTTTTCCCCTTACAACACCTTCACTGGGCAGATACCATTAACTCTTCCCACTATACACTGGGAAACAGAGGACCAGAGCTAACTGGGCCATGGGTTACAAGTTTAATAAGTGGCAGAGCCAAGTTACAAACCCAGGTCACCTGCCTGACCACCGAGGCCATGTCCTCTCCACTGTGCACAGTGCCTCTTAACTCTTTGGAAACAGTTTCCTCACCTGCAAAATGGGAGCAACACTCACTATCTGTCTTCCCTTATGGGGCTGTCAAGAGGTGCAAAATGGGAATGTGGTGGGGGTATTTTGGACACCAAAATGGTGGCTATTACTGGGCAGCACTCCCCGCAACACCGTGGGGACAAATAAGAGGCTTCACAGCAAGCTTGCTGGGCTCTAGTGGGTTGGTCAGAGAGTCAGCCAAGGTGCCAGTAAGCACAGTTACTGCTATCTTTCTGGCAGGGAAATACAGCCCATCCGGAGTGCCTGGAACGAGCACAAGGGAAAGCAAGCACCAGGGACTGCTGCATTCTGGACCTGCAGTCTCCATAGGCAAGAGGGGCCTGGGACCTGTAGTCAGTTGCAGTGCATGCTAGGACTTGTAGTCTCAACTGTCTATCCCCACAGACCAAGCTTCTCAAAGGAATCCCCCTTCCTCCCACAGCTGTTCTCAACGAGGAAGGATCTTGGCCACAAGTGGGCGTACGTGAGTACATATTCTCTCTCTCTCTCTCACACACACTCTCTCTCTCTCTCTCTCTCTCTCTCTCTCACACACACACACACACACACACACACA